GGAAGGGGGAAGCCTGGGAACTCCACCAAAGTCTTTTCCAACTTACAACTTCTCCTTACCTTTTCTCAGTTTCTCAGCCACAGCCTCCTCTACAGAGGCAGCCAATTCAGAAAGGAACTGGCAGAAGGACAGACAGACTAACCAAGGTCCCAAATAACTGAGACAGTGAGAGACACATGTAAGGTAAGGCACAGAGAAGCCCCTCAGATCCACCATTATCTAAAGATTTTCATTTGGAGCACCTAACTAGATCTAGAAATGCCAAGGGGTCTTCCAGCAGCCACATCCTCATTCTTAGAGCAACCCCAAAACCGCCTGCAAAAACTACTTGTCCTTTGTTCTGCACTTTCCGCGTCTGGGGAACTCAAAAGTTCTCCATCAAACAGGACTGAATTCAGCCTCACAAATCCCTCCAAAGCAGATCTACACCACAGTTTTCCTTTCTGTAAATGTAGACAAAGAGATGCAGCGACCTGCCTGAGGCAACCCCAAAAGACAGTATCACTGCTAAGAACTGCATACCTTACCCAGAGGAAAGCAAGGGAATGGAATTAGCTAGGATGAGGTCTTTTCTTTTTTATTTTTTTGTTTTCTCCAAAATGGGAAGGAATATTTGGAGCATTTCAGTGTGCAAGGGGGGGATCTTGGAGGAAGGGAGATGATTTCTTTTAATTCTGGAGTACTGGAAATGAAAACAAAATCAACGTTCTGGAAGGAAGGGCAGGAGAAATGGGAAAGGTGGAAGGAGGGGTTGGAAAAAGATGCCGTGAAGCACTGCACCCCTGGACTTACTGGCTGAGAAACAGAGAGAAAGCTGGGACTGCATGGACTCAGTCTGTGTTTTGCTCTCACTGTGCCTCCGTCCTTCAAGCACTGAGCTGCCGTCCCCGGTGGAGAGCGGGGGAGCTAGCATGGCAGGGAATTAAAACACAAACACAAACAAAACACGCAAGTTCAGTAAATAAAAAAAGAGAAAGGAAATAGGAGAACATTAAAGAAACCACAATGCTGGGCACAAAACATGCAGGAGTATCCTCCAGCGCAAAGCCATGTAGACAGCTCGACAGCATGGTCCTGCTGTGCAATTTGTAAGGACATCGTGGGGGGGAAGCTGCTCCCTTTAGTCCCACAGCAGTGGAAGCAACACAGCCTTGAGGTGACTGTCACTAATGTATCAAGATGTCTCATGCTCCACAGCAGAGTAGATCTGCTTAACCTGCCTCTATTGAAAATAAAGGGTGAGAAGAACTGTACAAGCACTTCCCTGCTCCCAGCGTCATGGCTATGCAGAATGCTGATAACTCCAACACACCCAGAACTTTTGGCCTATTTAATTTTGCACTGAGTGTTTGCTTAGCTTAAAACATGGAGGGGCAGGAGTTGAATGGGAGGCATTTGGCAAATGCTGCTGTACTTAGAAGTAAAGCACTAAAACTATCCATTAGAGCTGGCCATAGCACAAATCATTACTGTGCAAGCTCCTTCCTTCTCAACCACAATTCAAATGCTACCTTCTATTGAAAATCTATTCTAACAGCTCTGCCAATAAATCTCTCTTGTGATCTGAAGCAATGCAGCCCTGTACAATTCTTCACTGCACCTAGATCTGGCAAACAGCCAGCTGCCCTCCTTCCCACCTCCCTTCCAGCCCAGTCCCAGCTTTCCTCTCTTCACAGCACTCATATTCCTGACTTGAATGGGTTTCATCTCGGGAAGTCTCCTGGACAGAAACTGTCAAAGTAGACAACTCTTTGGACAAATATCTGTTTTGGACTGACATCCAGTAGAGATTAGATAAATCCATTTCATTATCATATTATGAACACCATCCAGTTCCCTTGCTTCAAAGCTTGATTCTTAAACCATGCTTCCTCTTTGGAAGAAAAAAAAACAAAAACCAAAAAGGTGAGAGGTAGAATGCTATTCTGTAATGAGGTCAGGTCTTATATGAAACAATCTGTCTTGCAGAGTTCATTTGGCCGCTGGCATGTGCTGCTGTTCCGGATGACTCCTAAGAGGAGCCAGCAGTTTAAGGTAAGGCGCAGGAAAAGCTTTGGGAAGCATCCTAAGTGACTGAGGTAACATTACTGCATCCACCACCGTGAGCATCATGGGGCAAGCTTTGATTGTTCCCAGGCACCATAACTCTCATTGAGCACAGGGAGAACCAGAGCACCTCTACCTCAAAATGCAAACGGAATTTGCTCTTCTTGGGTCTACTTTTTCAGGAGAATTTATTTCCTTTCCTCCTTCTTACAAGAGTCAGACAATGGGCAGTTGCTCTAACAACATGAGCAAATATGGAACTGGGGAATGGTCAGAGCTCCTTTATCTAAGAGAGTTTTACAAGCACAGAATGCTTATGATAAGGTCACTGAAAACTGTGAAATTTCTCACTAGCATCTCCCTCTCCCGAAATCTCAGTAAGGGACAGGGGAAATCAACTCTGTTCATAGATAAAAAGCTGAGAATGATCTTCATCATAGAAACGGGCCCAAAAAGAGAGAGAGAGAGAAAAAATAAAGTGTGTGTGCATCACTGAAGAGATTCTCCAAAAGGGGTGAGAAGAGAAACTGTGCTTCTCTGGTGTGGGAGTGATAAGAGAGGTTTCAACTTTCTAGCCTGCGGGGAAGCACAGAAAACTAGATGCCAAACCTCAAGGGACCAGTAGGGATCTTCCTAGCCTAGAAATGAACTAGAGATGAATAGAATATGATATTTCCAAGGAAAGAATTTCCATTCAGAGACAAAAACAAAGTAGCTCATGGCAAACAGAGTTCATACACCTGAAAGGCTAAGTCAACTGGTTCCTGAGAGCATGGCCTCACTGCAGCAGGCATGGCAGACTGAATCACACAAGCAAATCTGGGAAGTAGTTCCTGATCCAGGATTTTCTCCTTGCACTTAACAGTATTAGAGCTTACAGGCAAAACACCTACCTTTGAGATCCTCATCTTCGGTAGTGGTGTTACAGCTCTCTGTGGATCCCTGCATGGCAGAACAGAATGTTACCAGACATCAGCAGTCAGAAGCATTAGTAAGGGCTTTGATTTGTTTGTGGAAGAAGATGAGGAAGGTATAAAAATACAGGCAGGTATAGCACAGACTGAATAAAATGAAGAAGATTTCGATGTAAGTGAGCCAAATATCAAGCAAAGCTTAGCAGCATCTCTTCTAAATGCCTGCACGTTCAAGCAGTTCAGGCCCTCCACACAGACCTTTCACACAAACACAAATTAAACTCTATCAAGTGAGATCACTGCTTTTATTTGAAAGAATAGCCTCAGGAAGCTAAAAAGGGGGTTCTTAGGCTTTCTCAAAGGAACAGGTCTCCATTTCAGGAAGAAATAAGTGCATGAGTGCCTATATCTTCTCATCCTCCCTACATATACAAAAGAACGGTGCTTATACACCAAACTGGCAAGAGATTATCCTTTTCAAACAGCCATCCCTACTCAAGTCTCTTCTAGAGATCTACAGCTGTAGAACACAACGTTCCCACTTCTGCCCCCAGCAGCACTCAGGAGCATGCTACAAACCAGACACCAGAAAGGCAGACACTCCAGTCAGAAACACAAAGATGAGAATGACACGAGGGAGAAGAAGTCTCTCTGACCACACTCCCATCCCTTACCTTTATGCCATCTGTAGCATTATGGACAACAGTTGTTTGAGGCTCCTAGGAAAGGATGGAAGAACCCATTAAATTCTCATTCTACGGCATTATTTTCCCATATGCTTTCACTCCCCAGCAAGTGGAGAAAAGGTGACTGACATAAAAAAAGTCAAACCACACACTCCAAACAGCACACGTGCGCTTGCGTGCGTGCGCACACACTTCCTGCGCAGGTTTCCTGAGGAGAGAGACTGCACTAAAAGCTACCGACACTAGGAGACAAAGCCCCCCAGATTCCCAATTTGCTTCTCGAGAAGCACGCTGGCCCCAACACCAGGTAGAAACAGGAGTCACTCCCCAGTGTACAGGTTGCTCATGCAGTAATTGCCCCTCAGCAGCATCTTTTCTAGAAATTGCTTCAGAAAGGGTAGAGATGAAGGGAAGTATAATGCTGGGTTGGGGCCTTTATCTCCTAGTTTTTGTCAAGTCTGCCAGGTATTTTACCCTGACAAGGGACATTCATAATTTCCACGAGAAGAAGGTTGGTAAGTCAGAGCACCCCAACGTTCCTCACTGAAGAGCCATTATGGGAACTGGGCTGTGAGAAAAGGTGCATTTTTCTAGAACAGGTCTCTAAAATGAGATCCGATTTCAAAAAGTTGTAGTAATAATAATAATAATTAATCAGAAAGGCCCCCTCAGCATCAAAATCCTAACAAACAAAGTCAGTGAAGGGAGAGCTGAAAATTATGAAGTGTCCCCAAAACCCTTCACGCTACCCTAAACAACAAGAACACCGAATCTCTCCCCCTACTCGCCGAGGCCGCCAAACCCCATGCCCTGGTGCACACCACAGCGAGCAGCTACCAGGGCTGTGAGCGCACTCGTTCCCTCCTGACAGGGGCACGACCTCAGCATCCTGCACCACTTCTTCCTG